GGGTTGTAATGAAGGATGAGATTGAACCGGATGTTATATGGGAGCAGAGAGTGAAGGATGTAGAAGCTGAGAAGGAGAGGAAAGTGGTGACAAGTCCTGGGTTCAGCTTTTCTGCTGCTGGTCTTTTGTTTCCTTACCATCTTGGCGTTGCTCAATATCTCATTGAGAAGGGTTACATCAAGGTTTGATTTTTGTTTCAAAGCTATCTTCTTTAAATTTAAAATTTTTGCCTGTTGAGTGTATCTATGTTGGATATGTTATGTTCATATTGGTGACCTGTTGTTGTTTTCATATACATTTCTAGAGTTTCCAGTATTTTTCTGAATTTTTTGTCAGTTTTTTCAGTTCCTGATTGGGTTTACTAATTTTACACTTGTGTCCATGGTTGAAGCAATTCATTTGAGGATAGTCACTCTTAGGAGGAAAAAGAATCCTGGTTCCATTTTGATCAATCTTCTTGATGTTTATTTTTTTTGTTTTGTTAAAATAAATGGGGGAAGGCAAGCAGTTGTCTTTCTGCAGGAATGACTTCTGTTTACTAGTCCAAGACTTTCTCTTTCGGTACTAACAGGATACAGAATCTAATGCATAGATACTTTTAAAAGTCTTTTTCAATTATTTATTCATTTCCCCAGAATGTTATTCCTGTTGTTCTTTTATTGAAACTAAACCTTTTGATGAGTTTATGCATTCATTTTTGAGGAAGGACTAGATAAGGAATCTATTTGGGTGGTCAACTGGTCATGCTGTAGTTTCATTGGTGCACTAGCCTTAGGTGTGATGCTTAAGTGTTTTATCCTCTCTAGGTGTGATGCCTAAAGAAACCTAGGTGTGACTCCTAGGGTTTTTCTATCTTTCTCGTTATTTTCTATTTTTTCCCTCTTCCAAACCATATTTTTAATCTCTTTTACTATTCACTCGCACTGTTCACAGCGTATAATTTCCCTAAACAGCCACTAAATCCCCAAGCCCACCAGTTTGACAAAAATGATATTTTGTTTGTGTTACTTGAATATTTTTATCTTGTTATCTTGATGCAAGGGTTGGAGTACCCCTTTTACTTCCTTTAGTTCATTGCAGAGTTGGATTGAAACGACTAAAGATCATATTTTATTTTGAAGTTTTGACCCAATATTTTCAGCAAAGGTGGTTGGTGACTTTTGAGGACTTAGTGTGCTTGCTGTCTATACCTTTCTCAGCCTTTTGGCTAAGATCAAGTGTGCTTGCTGTCTAGTAAATAAGTAATGGGATTGTTTTACTGAAACATCTTGATACTAAAAGTTATTATTTCTGCTCCTGCCAAGCATAGCTTCCACTTAAGTATATGCCCCCCTGCATTTTCTATTTAGAGTGCGTGAGTGATTGAATGGATTAACGCTCTTGCAAATGGAAGCTGGAAGATTCTTTTTATGGCTTTGGAAATGTGAATACTATTTGTGTGTTTCTATGTATTTGATTATTTCATTTACCTCATTTCTTTGTGGCAGAAGTTAATAAGTATAATAATGCTTTTGCCTTCGAGTCCTTGGTTTGTCATTGGAATTTTATTTTCTGATGCAGGAAACAACACCATTGGCAGGTTCATCAGCTGGTGCTATAGTCTGTGCGGTGATTGCTTCTGGTGCTACCATGCAGGATGCCCTAAAAGCAACTAAAATCCTGGCTGAAGATTGTCGGCTTAAAGGAACTGCATTTCGGCTCGGGGTATGTCTATAACAATAACAGCTATACTGTTGGTTGCCCATATTCCTCTTTATTTTGAAGTCTAGCTTCTTAATAGGTGGGATACTTTAAATACTGATTAGTGATCACTTGCTTCCATATGAATAATGCACTTGTCATGTGAACTTATGTATTGTATTGATTCAGTTCTGGTCCATACTTGTTCATTTTAATTTTCTTTTTTCTGGGCAAAAGAAGAGCTATTTTCATGTTTAAATGTCAATCTTTTTCTCAAATTTAAAGTTCTATTAATATCTCCTCTTTGTGATGGTAGGCTGTTCTTCGAGATGTTCTTTACAAGTTTCTGCCGGATGATGTTCATACAAGATCCAATGGGAGGGTTCGTGGTGAGTTTTACTTTTCCCACTCTGATATATGCTGAATATACTTTTCAAGAAATGCCTACTAACTTGAGAAAGGGCCAGAAATTGGCAGTTGATGTGCCTTGATTTACTTTTTCTTTTCCCCTAGGGGGAGTAAGTATGAAGGAAAATCATTAAACAAAATAATATAATTACTTTTAACTTATTATTATACTAAGAGCTGAACTTGTTAGAATCAAGTTCAGATTATAATATAGAAATTTGTAAGGAAATAAAAGGTAGAGAGGTCTGAAGTATTGGTCAAATTATATAGTATTAGAGAAGCTTATATAGGACTAGATGGCATATATAAAGGTTTTGGTGTCAACTAAACTAAGTTACTAAGCTGGAAAACGTGGATGGTAATACTATAATAACTGCCCCTGGTCTCCTCACTGGATTTACCATTTTAGTTTTTCACCCCTCTTTGCGGCTAAGATAACCTTGAATGACATTTCAATTTCCCTACCTAATCTATTGACTTTATTTGTGTGTCTGACTAGAATAACTTCAAAGATTGATTCTGACTTGTCAAAACCTTGTTGCTTTGAGCAATTTCTTGTATGGTAATCTCAACTATTACAACAGTTGCTGTAACCCAGATCCTCTGGAAGCCAAAGGGTTTACTAGTGGATCAGTTTGACTCCAAGGAAGATCTCATAAATGCAGTCATTACATCATCCTTCGTTCCAGGGTAAATAATCTTCTTTACCTGGCCATCAGGGTAGATAATTAATGATCTGTACTGACTTTGGTGGCTTGCTATGAAGTCTTGCTAATAAAACATATATCAGTGCAGCTATCTTGCACCAAGGCCAGCAACAATGTATCGAAATAGACTCTGCATTGATGGGGGTTTGACGCTGTTTATGCCACCAACATTTGCTTCTAAGACGGTATTTGCTTGAGATAGCCTATTTGCAGAACTGTAATGAATGACCCTTGTTGTCTTGCTTAAGATATACACCCATATGGAAGCTATAAAGATTTAGGTTTATAATTGGAGATGCTAGTATGCTACCACCTCTCTTCAAGATTTGAATTATCCCAACGACCTATATATCATTTCAAATTAAGGCTTATTCCCTCAGTAAATGCTTTTGAGTTGAATGCTTGGGATTTTAAGCAGGCATGCTATTGTTATGCTATGTATGACTACCTCAATCAAAACAAATATTGAAATATTCTGATTTTATCCTCAGTGTGCATGCTAGCATGTGATTCATTTTTTAATTTGATCTATTTTTTTTTTGTGATCAATCTGTTGCATTTTAATTAAATGATTACTTATGAAACAGATAGAGCTTGGTAGTTGCCAGTGGCTTGAAATTAAGTCTGCCATAGAATCTCCAGGAGTTATTTCTTTAATGATCTCACATTCATATATAATTAAAACTTGCATTTTATGTGCTAGCATCAGAATCTTAACAACACCTTATTGGGTCATTGCAGGTCCGGGTTTGTGCTTTCCCAGCTGCTAGATTGGGACTGGAGGGAATTGGGATTAGTCCAGACTGCAATCCTGAAAATAGGGCTTCCCCTAGAGAGGTAATATCTTTGGCCATGCAGTTGAACCATATTTCTTTACCTCCAACTATCAACCAATGACTTATCTGTTGCCAACCATTCCAGCTTTTCAATTGGTCACTGGAACCAGCAGAGGATCATATTCTTGATAGACTTTTCGAGCTAGGATATCTAGACGCAGCTGTATGGGCTGCTGAGAACCCAGTTTACAAGGTAGTTGAAGATAGCATTCCTACAGCTGAAAACGGTTCTGCAAACTAGTTCCTTGGAAGATTATTTATCCAGCCAAGGTACTCCACTCTGGTGGCATTTTGCTATAACCCTTGCCTGGGGTTCCCTGTGTACCCCAATGCCCAGTTCACAAGGCAGCTTGGATAGGTGATTTTTCATAGATCATTTGGTAATTTTGTACAGTATGAGATTGTCAAATTACAACACTGCCCTGATTGACTTGTCAGGGTCATTCAACTAAACCCTAAAATCAAGGATTCAAGGGCTGGTCATAGGGAAGAAAAAAAAAAAAAAGATTACCTAATTATTGAAGACATGCCATGTTAGAAACGCAAAAGAATCAAGGAATACCCTTTGTTCTCTAGTTTCTTTGAATTATTCTTTCCCTTTTTCTTCATTTTGGCCTAAAATTTCAAAGGAGTTTCTCTACAGTAAAGTTAAGTCAAACGTAAATTTTTTTAGAAGTGTTTTTAACTTTATATTAATGTTAATTTGAACTTTTGGAGTATGGTTTTGCTGTTGAACTTTTACATTTGATATATTTTGTCTATTTATAAATTTTTTTTCATAATTATTTTGTCATAATTTAATGTTTCTCTAAAACCATATTCAAACAGCTCTTCTACAGAGTGAGAAACAGGTTCTGAGTTGAATAAATGAATGTAAGGTTAAACCCTAGAGTTAGCTTTCTAGAAGGAAAAATTGAAATGATTAAGGTATAAGTGAGTTGACAGAGTGGATTACAGGCTGTGGGCGACAGAAGAAACAACCCATTCCATGTTCTCCTGTTGCATTACAACTGCACAAGTCAAAAAGCATATTGAAAGCTCAGATGAAACACATGACCCTCCCCCATAGTCAAAAAAAGCCTCTCCTTCTCTGCATCCACACTCAACACATTGCATTCCATCTTGCGTACCAAACTTGTACTATGGGGGTCTTAAGGTTGTCATTGTGAAGGCAGATGGCAGTCCTCTCCCCAAGGAACAACCATCAAAGCAATGATTATTTTCTGCTATTCTAGTTTTGGCCGCATTAAGTACAGTTGAAAAACTGAGCAAGCGCCGCCCACCAAATTCACCAGGTCGTACTACACCATGCACGCTCATGCATCCCTTTCTTTCTACATAAAGCTACTTCATTTCAAAAGCCATTTTACAGACGTTTCCCAACATCGTCAGTCTTCTATTTCACATCAGACTTCAATCTTCCAGATCGTGAAAAAAACACTGTGTCTCTCTTCTCTCCTCTCTCTTCCATCTTTTCTTCTAGTGTGTTTCTCAGGGGCCTTGTTGCAGAGATGGTTTGGCATTCTGTCCACCTCCATTGTCACTTCCTAGGTACCCAGTTAGCCCTTGGAGGTGGCCAGCATGCCAAACTACCTCTGTAAATTTCTCCCTGAGAAGCCCTAAGAAAAAGAAGTTTCGATCGGTTCAGTTAATGAGCAGCTGCCTTGTGTGATCAAAATGCAAAGAACTTCTCCAGAATCTCAGATAGCAGGTGCCAGACAAACAAACTAGCTAGTTAGCCACTCCAATCTCACATCACGTGGCAAGGACCAGTAGTTCTTGAGCTACATATATTTAGCAACGCGTGGTATTCCTACCTCACAGGCTAATGTTTTGGATTGAAGAATCCCAGTTCATGACAACGAAAGTTAATTAATTTGTCTTTTTTTCATCTTCAAACTGAGATTTAAAGGTTTTTTTTTTTTTTGGTTCAAAATTTCCGTTTTTATAATAATGTAAACGTTTTATAAATTGTTCTTGGCCTTAATTGCTAGAAGTCAACCACCACAAAAGGCTTAAAAAGTAGGCAAGCACCCAAATTTTCCATGAATTTTTTTTTCTTTTTTTCTGGATTTTCAAACTGTTTCATAGTATGCAATGATGAAGAAGATGGTAACTTAACTTTGCATACATACACTACGTTTAAAGCACCTTTAAATTGAATTTCATGATTGCGAAAGAAACTGGTGCTCCACTCTGAACGGCTCTCAGTGCCCTTGGATTCCCACAACAACCATTATGTGCATGCTAGGAAATGGTATAAATGCATCCCTACGCTTCCATTTGTTCGATATTTTATTATTGTTTATGAAATTGTGATTGACTTGCTACCCTCAACCTTACATGTGATTTACGTTTGCCGACATCCATGCATGTCAATTTTAACAGTTGATCAAGCGTGATAATTTTTATTATTTAAATAATGAAAAAAACATGTTAAAAATTAAAATATTATTAATCATTTACTTTTACAAAAATGTTAAATAATTCAAATTTTATTAGATTACATAATTTAAACATTGAGACTAAAGACAAGCCTTTTGAATTAATGATCCTTTTTTTATTTAAATTAAAGATTTTAACTTTATAGTCCGAATTATACAAAATCGTGAATTCTTTCATCCATAAGTTCTTTAGTTCAACTTCACACACAATGTATTCTGTTGCAAAAGCTAAAATTGTAACGATAATTGCAAAACTTCTCATTGGCTTCGTCGAAGATTCTGAGGGCTGTTAATGGGTTCTGCTGACTCCTTATAGTCTGTGAAAGGTGCGTAGGAGTTCAAACTTGAAACCCTTTGTATTACTGCTTAATCTAGAGAGCATGCATCCATCAATTAACAATTGGGACCACAAGAATCTTAGAACTTAAAGGTATTAGATAAAAGGTTAAACGATCACAAAGCACTACCAAACATCAAACATTAGCAAAATAATAGATCATTCCCACAAAGTCTGCAATATAGTTTCAGGCCGACTATAATTACCCATTAACATCTAATATATGATGATGATTCATTGTTATCCTACTACATCACTACTAATCATGGCAGCTCTCTCTATTTCTCCGAGCAGTAAATCATGATTAAGTAGCTCAAAAACTACTTGCCCTAGAAGTCAGTTGGATCTTGACCTTGACCTTGATCTGCATATTGTGTTCACAAAACATTCAATCAGAAATGAGCATGCAGAAAGGTGTAAACTAGAGAGAATTTGGATTTCAATGTAGTTACCTGGATAATCTAGCAGGAGATGGTGACCTTGACTTTGAAACAGACCTGATTAAGATAAAGCAGGCAAATCATGAGAATTTCAATTTCTAGAGTGAGGTTGAGTGCGATTGAGTGTTGTGCACAAGTGCTTGTTCAAGTAAGAATAAACAGAGTAAAGAAAGAACAGAAAGGAGCAATATCATTATATTTTCACCTCCTATTTTTTCCTGGACTTCTACTACGACTCCTGCTTCGACTACGACCCCCAGCCCCATGCGGACTGGCTTCATAGCTCTTCACCTGAAATGTCAATGATCCACAGAAAATAATTTATCAAAACCAATATTGAACAGATTTCACACCTGGGAAGCTCAAAAATAGACAAAAGAAGGTTATAAGAAAACAACACCACAAAGGTAAGAAAGAGAATACCCTAATATAAGCCTTTGAAAATGGATTCCGAAACTCAGAATCATCCAATTTTCTGATCTGTGCAACATGTCAAGAGAGAGAGTTAGGAAAATAATAAAGGAGCAACTCACAAATAACAAACAAATTCAGTTTGTAAAATAATTCCAATTAACTTACAGCATATTTCATGTCCTCGGAATTTGTGTAGTCAACGACGCCCACAACTCCTAAAAAAAGTAAAAATGAGAAACATGATGTAAAAAAAATTGGCGACAAGTACAACTTATGAGATTGAAGAGTGAAAGTTTAAGATCCCCATTTAAAAGAATTGTCTCACTCTTCAAGCTCAAAAATCATAAATAGTCCAATACAATAGAATGCATGTCGAAAACAGAAACTTCCAAAACTTCTAACAATCAAATATTTTGTTTGGAGTTCATACCATCACCATCACGATAAACTTCAGCAAAACAGACATCTCCAGCTTTCCGCATATGATCCTGAAAAAATGCATTTATTGTAAGCTTTTTATATCTGAAATTAGTAATATTTATGTATAGGAAGTCAGTAGTGTTCTCACTTTTAGATCTTGCCATGAAGCAGAAGAAGGCAGTCCACGGACAACAACTAGATCATAGGGAAAAAAAAAAAAAAAAAGGTCAAAATGACAGCAGGTAACATAAGAGAAGAACAAGATAGCAAAAAGATCAAAGAGAAATATAAACTTCCAATAAGTTTCACCTCGAAACTCTGACCGATGTGAAACTCCAAATCTTCCTCTACCACCACCACCACCACCACTACCACCACCACCACCACCACCATATCCACGGCGAGAAGATTGTCCTCGACCACCATGAGCAAGTTCCACCTGCTTGAAGTAAAAGGGTAAGAAGAGACACCATTTAGGAAACAACAGTTAAATATTAACAACAGCATGGTTGAAAGTCAATTACCCGAATACGACACCCATCAAAATTATAGCCATCTCGACCCCTAATTGCATCTTCAGCATCCAAAGGATCCTCAAACTAAAAACAAGAATAACAGCAAATAAACTTAAAAGTCACATAAGATGATAACCAAATTGTTAATTGATACGCATATGCTATGACAAGCATCTCAGGATACAAAATGCACACCTCCACAAAACAATAACCAGGTGAACGAGGTGGAAGCTTCAATTCAATATCCAAAATCCGGCCATACTGCAACAAACAGAAATGATGTAGTGACTTGCATTTCAAGGAAAAAATTCCATGCAAAATCTCAAAATGCCACATAATACCATGTTCTCCCTTCTTCTCTTTTTACTATAAAAGTAAACATAAAATAAAATGAACTAATTAAGAAATGCCAATGAGCTATGACTCAAACCTTGGAGAAAAGGTCTTCAATTTCCCATTCTTTGACATCTAGTGGCAGGTTACCAACATAAATTGTGCGTGATGATCGACCAGCCATTTGTTGATGCAAGGGAAACAATTTAATAAGGACAACTCACTGCCCAGAGAAAGTGAAAAGGAAGACTAATCATTTTGAACACCCAGGACCTTCGAAATTGCAAATTTGGCTTAAACATAATTCATGCTATTCAATGTCATCATTAATAAAAAAAGGCAACAAAAAGAAAGCCAATTTCTGTAACTAACGCAAACCAAGAGGTATAGATGTGCTCCATTGAATATGTGCTCCAAGATGCACCAGAGCTACAATTAAACTGATAATACATTTGATCTCCTCATTGTCCCCTTGACTTTTGCAGAGCTATAGATGATTCTTCTCAAAGTGACCAAGAACCTCCAATCATTACAATACCCACAAATTCAAAATGACTCCTCCATCCCCATTTCTACATCCCTATGTATAGGCCCAGAGCTCCTATCTGTTGAAGCTCCCTTCATCTAATCATACACAAAGTGGTTATGTTACAAAATGCAATAGGATTCAAATATATTTGAATGTTCGTTTGAGGAAAACAGATTGTGGCACACAATCTTTTACTTTTATGTTGAACATTTAAACGGGATCAATCTGCCCATCTCAAAAGAGAAAAATTACTTTGCATATAAATACCCATAAATTAGATCTAAGATCAACCCTTTTGCTCGCCAACCCTAGGAGGAAGATTATGGGAAAAGCAGAAAGAACTACAGAACCCATAAAGCTCTCAACTTCCAAAGAAATGAATGAGTTCTAGATGCATGTTATGTGCCCACGTTGCATATAAGTTTTTGAGGGAACTTTAATCTCAAGCCCACCTAGAAAAGCAATATAATTTAATCATTTTTAGGGTATATTGGAAAGGAAAGTTAGCAAGTGCTTAGATATTTGGAACGGTTTAAACCCCTAAACTTCAACCCATTAACTAAGGTTTTGAAGTTGTATTGCATTACTAACTCCGCTAAGCTCTCGGAGTAATTAGTATAAATCATCCAAACCCAAGAAGTGGAAGCCACCAACAACTTTCCTTCTTGAGTTTATAACTATGTGTGCTGTTAAGAGAAGGTTACTACTTAGTACCACCAAATACTGCTAAAAGAAAGTGCACCGACACAAAATAGACTGTCCAGCTATAATCCTAAGAAATCCCAGATTCATAAAAACAAACCCATCAAAGATATGAACTAAGATGAGAAAACAAGAAAAACAAGTATATTATCATGTAAAAGATGAACCAGAAGCTAACATAAACGGGAAAAACAAATAAGATACCAGGTAAATCAGAGAAACCCTAAATTCAGAGAAGATTATACCGGAAGATCGAAAACAAAGCTGCGCCAATTGCGACGGTATTGAGTGCAACCAGTGCAGGTTTTGAACTGGACAGCCAGAGAATTGAACCACGAAAATGACTGGAATCTGCAGGGGGCCAGGCCAGGGAGGGTGAGGGTTTGAAATCAGTGGTGGATAAAGGAGGGGGAAAGGTATAAGGGCATTTTGGTCATATCACAAAGTGATGGGGGGGGAAGTCAGAATCTGCCACGTCAATGTACTTTTGATTTTGTTTTTTTTTTTTTTGGTAAAATTTTGATTTTGTATTTTGCCACCCAAGTGATGCTTCTTCGAGTACGAAAGAAATAAAAAAAATTCAATTTTGTTATAAGTAAAAAAATAAATTAAATTAAAATGTTTTGCATTAAAATTATTAAGATTTTTAATAATGATTATATAATAAATTAAATAAAAATAAAATTTATGTTATATTTTATATGTTTAATAATTATAATTAAATATTTTAATATTTTTATTCTATTACTTTTATATTTTCTCACCATACTAGCCACTTGAACGTGTTTTTTACATTTTTTATTTTGAGAATTGAGAGGCTTGGGAACTCCAGTCTTGTAAATGCAAAACATTAATCTTCATTGTTAGTGCAATTTGACTGGTTAAACTTTGTAGCAATTATGATCGATGATAATTATTATTATAAGAGATTTTTTAAGTTGTATTTTTTAATTACGGATTAAATTTTATTAATTATATTTTTTATAATTTAATTTATATAAAATTGTATATAAAATATAATATAAAAAGCATATATTAATCTTAATTTTTAAAGTAAATTAAAAATTTAATTTTAAATTATGTCATTTTTTAATTAAAATTTAAAAAATTATCTTATCAAATATTAATATTAAAATTTAGATTCTAATTATATTAAAATATTTAATGAATTTTTAAATTTAAATATTAATATTTAATAAAATTTAATTTAATTTTTAGATATAAATTTAAATTTTAATTATTTTTAAGAGTAGAAATTAATATATATTATTTTTTATGATATTATTATTTTTTTCGGCGGAATGTGATCCTTCCCACTTGGGTTGGGTTTGGGGCACGTGGTTAATTTCAACCTTCGCCGACAACACAGAATTGTCGTTTTGCACTTTTCGCTTCGCTTCTCTCTCACTTGCTTCCCCTCCAAGTCCGGCGATCTAAACTCTCATCCGATCCAGCTAAGCTATCTCCTCCACAATTCCTCGCCATGGATTTTGCTCCTCAATATCTTACCACCATTATCCTCATTCTCATATCAATTCTGTTATCATCCTCCTTGACGACTATCAACGCCTCAATCCACATCTACCAGGATCAGCTCTTCAACGAAGTCGGCAATGCCTACCTTCTCTCCGGCGGCAGTGAGGGCCTCTCCACCTCAAGCTCCGATGGCAGCTCTTTCATCCGGTTAGTGAGTCATTCTGACTTAATAAATGAAACAGTCCCTTTCGTAAATTAGTGCTGTAGTGTGATTCATCTGTCATGGGACAAGGCGGCGTTGCTTTCTCGATTTTGGATTAGATCTGATGGAAAGTCATTAGGATTTGATAATTTACATGCAAGTCATATTGCATTTTCATTTTTTGAGGTTTCTCCAGCAAATCCAGATGCGCAGTTGCAATTCGGCAGAGCTTGAAGTGTGTTATTATTTTCTGATTCGTTGGTTAATGATTTTAATATGTCTGTATCGTTTGCTATCCACATTTTGCCATGAAAATGGTATTTTGAGATTTTTTTTTTTTAATTCTTTAGTTTTGAAAATTAGATCAGAGTTTCTAACTGGGTTGTTATAGATCATTTTCTTTTGTTATGTGGAAGATTTCTTGTGTTCGGTTAATTAATAATTGTAGAAAGAAAAGAAGATAAAATTGAAGTGTTGGATACTGAGTGTATAATGCAGATATTCCAGGTTTGATGAATAAATATCAGACTTCTTGTCCTGGAATCCTCCATTGCCTGTAACTTATGTTACTGAAAGAGGCTAGAAGGCACCATTTTAAAACCTGATATTCTATATGTTCTGTTGGAATAGATTTGAGAATATCACTCTCTGGAGAACTGAGGCTGTTGCAAAGCAGTATTCACGCAAGAAGCAGAATACTGGGTTGATACAAGCAGTGATTTTTGAGACTGCAGATCGGAATAACATTGGTGGTTCAGCATATGGTGGACAAAGATCAATATGTTGCACCCCTGATCTTGCTAAGCTGGAAGGTTGCAGGCAAGGTGAAGTTATCAGGATACCATCTGCCACAGATATTAACTGGCCAATTGTTTTGAATGTACACTTCACTGGCAGATCCTTATCTACAAGCATGGATGTGAAAGATGTTCCCATCACGAAGACTGGAATGTATAATCTGTTCTTTATAGCTTGTGATCCTAAACTCAAAGGACTGGTAATGAGCGGGAAAACTGTGTGGAAGAATCCTGATGGTTATTTACCTGGGAGAATGGCTCCCTTAATGAAGTTTTATGTATTCATGTCACTTGCATATTTGTTGCTGAGTGTCATTTGGTTTGTGCAGTGCTTGAGGTTTTGGAAGGATATACTGCAACTTCAGCACTGCATCAGTGCTGTTATCGGTCTGGGTTTGTTACAAATGATACTATGGTATTTTGACTTCGCAAATTTTGACAACACAGGAATGAGGCCAGTTGTAATTACAACTTGGGTTGTGACTATAGGGGCTATAAGGAAAACAGTTTCTCGACTAATTATACTTTCAGTATCAATGGGTTATGGTGTTGTGCGGCCAACACTTGGTGGTCTTACTTCAAAGGTGCTTCTTCTTGGAATAACTTATTTCTTGGCATCTGAATTACTGGATATTACTGAATATGTGGGCACCATCAATGACATATCAGGGAGAGCAAGACTCTTTCTAGTCCTTCCTGATGCATTTCTAGATGCGTTTTTGATTTTGTGGATTTTTACATCTCTTTCAAAAACTCTGGATCAGTTACAGGTACTTCTGATTTTTGGTTTAACTTTTTGTTTATCCATCATTATAAGAGTGCTTGTTCTTCTTCATCTTCTTATTTGACTGTTTCCTTCCATTTAGTATGGGTTTCAGTGACTGATATTATTTTTATTCAGGCAAAGAGGATATCGGTAAAGTTGGATATCTACAGGAAATTCTCAAATGCTTTAGTTGTGACTGTGATTGCTTCAGTTGCATGGATTACTTATGAGGTATGATTTAGGTGAAGATCATTTTTTCTAGATTTTGTTTGAATTACTGAACCATAGGATATTGCTGCCTGCTGGACAGTGAAGCCTTTCTTGTTGCAGTGAGGAGCTAGATTTTTTGATATCTTCATATTTTGTGAGAAAAAGATTTGGCATTAATACTGCTTCTTTCTGGAAATAGTGAATTTTTTCTGCTCATGAGCTTCTTTAAAATAACATCTCCTCCACAACAACTTATTGGTAGTTGTCATTGCAAAACCTAAGATGATTTAATCAGTTTCAATGGGAAGATTCAAGTTAGATGTCAAGTACTAAGTTAACACTGTATTGCCTTTATTAAAATGCCAAGGGTTAGAATTATTAGAGATCCAATCTTTTTGTTCCTGCAGGTATATTTCAAAGCAACAGATCCATTCAATGAGAGGTGGCAGAGCGCTTGGATCATCACAGCTTTTTGGGATGTTCTTTCTTTTGTGTTGCTCTGTGTTATCTGCTATCTCTGGGCTCCATCTTCAAGCTCCCAACGGTATGTTTTATTCCAATTGAAAAATGCCTAAATGATATGTTGTCCGATGTTTTTTTATTTTTTGATTGGTAGTGTCTGAAGTTTTGATCTGAGACTGATGTAAAAGGTTCACTTTACTTGAGAAAAAATGCATTCAGTCTGACTTCTAATAGCCTCTTTTAGCTGAGCTGGCTGGTTTAGGTTCGCTATTTTTTTGACCTTGCATGTGCTAGTTAAAAACAGTTTTGAGGGTATTTTTTCCCCTGTTTTTATCTGATTGTTTGCTTTCTAGGTCAAGCCTTTTGTTTTTGGGGCTGAATTTACTTTTGGAGGATAATCCAGATAATCCACTTAGTACCGATCCTCTGATGCATTACACCATTTTCCCCCTTTCTTCAGATAAGGTTGCTCTCGTCATCTTTTTATGCTGATATACCCTGCAAATCCTTCTCAGGTATGCATACTCAGAGGTTGCGGAAGAAGAATTTGATGAGGAAGAAGCTCAATCTCTAACTAAGGGACAATCTGATGGGGATGTTATTCTGGTCAAGCAAGAAAAGAATGTTGGAGGTACTGGTATCCCCGATCACGAAGTTGAGGCAGAAGAGGATAAGAGGGAGTAATTGATTGGAGCACACTTTTCAGTCAAACTTATTCCTTTGTCCATTGAGGAGCAACCTTAACAGTTGACGCGCAAATAGAAAAGAGAGAAGCAGTTGACATTAACTGGGATCCTTGCAAATTCTTCCGGAGGAAGAGCTGCAATATCTGTCTTGTGTGGATAGTAGTTTCTATTCTTTAATTATACATGGCTACTAAGAAGGGGCAATTTGGAGGATAGTTTTTCAAAGAGAGTATAGAGACGGTTGCCACCCTAAAATCTCATTCAAATACTCAATAACAGCTGTTTGACCTTCATTTAAAAAAAAAAAATTACAAATTTAAAAACAATTTATATATTTAAAAAAA